CCTTGAGTGCCCGCCCAGGAGCAGCTGGGGCCCTGCCCTGGGCAGCTTGCCCCTACGGGACCTACCAAGGTGTGGCAGCGCCCTCACGAACCCTCACAAGGGCGGTGGCGCCCTTAGTGGCCCTCCCAGGAACGGCAGAGTCCCCAAGGGCCCTACAAGAGGCGACCCTCTTGGGAGCTCTATAGCTTGGTAAGGTCGTTCTGTCGTGCATGACCAACAATCCCATACTTAACTGTGATTGGTGGACTAAAATGTAAATCCACCGAACTACAGCCAATAGGAGAACAGCAGTCAGTCAACACAACACCCCAACTTATGTTTTGCTGTTGGATATTTGTTCTGCTTTACATTATTCAGGATGAAATGATACTGGAAATGCGATTGGAATCGTATTTATTTAACGTCAAAATATCTCCAAGAGTTCTAAATAAAGCAAAAACAACTGCCCCCAGGAGACCTGCTAGGTGCTGGTGCGCCACCAATGGACCTCACAGGTGTGGGGGCGCCCTCAGGGGCCCTCCCAGGGCAGTCGGCACCCCCAAGGACTTTCCCAGTTCCGACGGCATCCCTAGGTGCCTTCTAAGGGGCGTCAGCGCCCTCAAGGGCCCTCCCAGGAGTGGTGGTGCCTCCAGGAAAATTCCCTGGGGTGGTGTCGAACAAAAACGCCCTCCCAAGGGCATTGGTGCCCACAGAGGCCCTCTGCGGGGTATCTGCTACCACAGCTGCCCTTTTAGGGATGATGGCATCCCAGGGGTTCTTACAAGTGAAATGGCACCTCCATGGGCCCTCCCAGATACGTGGTTCCTTTATGGAATATCATCGGGGCGGCGACGTCCCTAGGAGGCCCTCCCAAGGCCGGCGGCGCCCCCAGAGGTCCTCCATAAAGGGTGTTGGCGCACCTATGGGACCTACTAGGTGCGATGGCGCCCCCATGAGCGCTCCTAGGGGCGGTGGCGGCCCTAAGGGCCCTCCCATAGGCGGAGGCGCCCTTGAGTGCCCGCCCAGGAGCAGCTGGGGCCCTGCCCTGGGCAGCTTGCCCCTACGGGACCTACCAATGTGTGGCAGCGCCCTCACGAACCCTCCCAAGGGCGGTGGCGCCCTTAGTGGCCCTCCTAGGAACGGCAGAGTCCCCAACGGCCCTACCAGAGGCGACCCTCCTGGGAGCTCTATAGCTTGGTAAGGTCGTTCTGTCGTGCATGTCCAACAATCCCATACTTAACTGTGATTGGTGGACTAAAACGTAAATCCACCGAACTACAGCCAATAGGAGAACAGCAGTCAGTCAACACAACACCCCAACTTATGTTTTGCTGTTGGATATTTGTTCTGCTTTACATTATTCAGGATGAAATGATACTGGAAATGCGATTGGAATCGTATTTATTTAACGTCAAAATATCTCCAAGAGTTCTAAATAAAGCAAAAACAACTGCCCCCAGGAGACCTGCTAGGTGCTGGTGCGCCACCAATGGACCTCACAGGTGCGATGGCATCCGCATGGTGCCCAGGGGCGGTGGCGCCTTCAGGTTCCTTCAGAAGAGTATAGCCGTCCGAGTGCCTGTCACCGGCGATAAGCGCTCCCAGGGGCCTTGGCTCCCCAGCCAGGCTTTGTTGGGCATTGCGGCTCCCAGGCGGTGCTTGAACCTGGGGGCCCCTCCTGGCGGAGGCGCAGGTGCCCGCCCAGGAGCAGCTGGGGCCCTGCCCTGGGCAGCTTGTCCCTACGGGACCTACCAGGGGTGGCAGCGCCCTCACGAACCCTCCCAAGGGCGGTGGCGCCCTTAGTGGCCCTCCCAGGAACGGCAAAGTCCCCAAGGGCCCTACCAGAGGCGACCCTCCTGGGAGCTCTATAGCTTGGTATGGTCGTTCTGTCGTGCATGACCAACAATCCCATACTTAACTGTGATTGGTGGACTAAAATGTAAATCCACCGAACTACAGCCAATAGGAGAACAGCAGTCAGTCAACACAACACCCCAACTTATGTTTTGCTGTTGGATATTTGTTCTGCTTTATATTGTTCAGGATGAAATGATACTGGAAATGCGATTGGAATCGTATTTATTTAACGTCAAAATATCTCCAAGAGTTCTAAATAAAGCAAAAACAACTGCCCCCAGGAGACCTGCTAGGTGCTGGTGCGCCACCAATAGACCTCACAGGTGTGGGGGCGCCCTCAGGGGCCCTCCCAGGGCAGTCGGCACCCCCAAGGACTTTCCCAGTTCCGGTGGCATCCCTAGGTGCCTTCTAAGGGGCGTCAGCGCCCTCAAGGGCCCTCCCAGGAGTGGTGGTGCCTCCAGGAAAATTCCCTGGGGTGGTGTCGAACAAAAACGCCCTCCCAAGGGCATTGGTGCCCACAGAGGCCCTCTGCGGGGTATCTGCTACCACAGCGGCCCTTTTAGGGATGATGGCATCCCAGGGGTTCTTACAAGTGAAATGGCGCCTCCATGGGCCCTCCCAGATACGTGGTTCCTTTATGGACAATCATCGGGGCGGCGACGTCCCTAGGAGGCCCTCCCAAGGCCGGCGGCGCCCCCAGAGGTCCTCCATAAAGGGTGTTGGCGCACCTATGGGACCTACTAGGTGCGATGGCGCCCCCATGAGCGCTCCTAGGGGCGGTGGCGGCCCTAAGGGCCCTCCCATAGGCGGAGGCGCCCTTGAGTGCCCGCCCAGGAGCAGCTGGGGCCCTGCCCTGGGCAGCTTGCCCCTACGGGACCTACCAAGGTGTGGCAGCGCCCTCACGAACCCTCCCAAGGGCGGTGGCGCCCTTAGTGGCCCTCCCAGGAACGGCAGAGTCCCCAAGGGCCCTACCAGAGGCGACCCTCCTGGGAGCTCTATAGCTTGGTAAGGTCGTTCTGTCGTGCATGTCCAACAATCCCATACTTAACTGTGATTGGTGGACTAAAATGTAAATCCACCGAACTACAGCCAATAGGAGAACAGCAGTCAGTCAACACAACACCCCAACTTATGTTTTGCTGTTGGATATTTGTTCTGCTTTACATTGTTCAGGGTGAAATGATACTGGAAATGCGATTGGCATCGTATATATTTAACCTCAAAATATCTCCAAGAGTTCTAAATAAAGCAAAAACAACTGCCCCCAGGAGACCTGCTAGGTGCTGGTGCGCCGCCAATGGACCTCACAGGCGTGGGGGCGCCCTCAGGGGCCCTCCCAGGGCTGTCGGCGCCCCCAAGGACCTTCCCAGTTCCGGCGGCATCCCTAGGTGCCTTCTAAGGGGCGGCAGCGCCCCCAAGGTCCCTCCCAGGAGTGGTGGTGCCTCCAGGAAAATTCCCTGGGGTGGTGTCGCCCACAAACGCCCTCCCAAGGGCAGTGGTGCCCACAGAGGCCCTCTGAGGGGTATCTACTATCACAGGGGTCCTTTTTTAGGGTGATGGCATCCCAGGGGTTCTTACAGGTGAAACGGAGCCTCCAGGGGCCCTCCCAGATACATAGTCCCCTTTATGGACAATCATCGGGGCTGCGACGTCCTTAGGAGGCCCTCCCAAGGGCGGCGGCGCCCCCAGAAGTCCTCCATAAAGGGTGTTGGCGCACCTATGGGCCCTGCTAGGTGCGATGGTACCTCCATGGGCCCTCCCATGGACGGTGGCGCCTTCAAGCTTCCTTCCAGAAGCGTTGGCGTCCCGAGGGTTCCTGTCACGGGCAATAGCGCTCCCAGGGGCAGTGGCGCCCACAGCCCGGGCTTTTGTTAGCGGCATTGGCGCTCCCAGGGTCGGTGGCGAACCTGGAAGCCCTCCTATTGGCGGAGGCGCCCTTGAGTGCCCGCCCAGGATCAGCTGGGTCCCTGCCCCGGGCAGCTTGTCCCTATGGGACCTACCAGAGGTGGCAGCGCCCTCACGAACCCTCCCAAGGGCGGTGGCGCCCTTAGTGGCCCTCCCAGGAACGGCAGAGTCCCCAAGGGCCCTACCAGAGGCGACCCTCCTGGGAGCTCTACAGCTTGGTAAGGTCGTTCTGTCGTGCATGACCAAAAATCCCATACTTAACTGTGATTGGTGGACTAAAATGTAAATCCACCGAACTACAGCCAATAGGAGAACAGCAGTCAGTCAACACAACACCCCAACTTATGTTTTGCTGTTGGATATTTGTTCTGCTTTACATTGTTCAGGATGAAATGATACTGGAAATGCGATTGGAATCGTATTTATTTAACGTCAAAATATCTCCAAGAGTTCTAAATAAAGCAAAAACAACTGCCCCCAGGAGACCTGCTAGGTGCTGGTGCGCCACCAATGGACCTCACAGGTGTGGGGGCGCCCTCAGGGGCCCTCCCAGGGCAGTCGGCACCCCCAAGGACTTTCCCAGTTCCGGCGGCATCCCTAGGTGCCTTCTAAGGGGCGTCAGCGCCCTCAAGGGCCCTCCCAGGAGTGGTGGTGCCTCCAGGAAAATTCCCTGGGGTGGTGTCGAACAAAAACGCCCTCCCAAGGGCATTGGTGCCCACAGAGGCCCTCTGCGGGGTATCTGCTACCACAGCGGCCCTTTTAGGGATGATGGCATCCCAGGGGTTCTTACAAGTGAAATGGCGCCTCCATGGGCCCTCCCAGATACGTGGTTCCCTTTATGGACAATCATCGGGGCGGCGACGTCCCTAGGAGGCCCTCCCAAGGCCGGCGGCGCCCCCAGAGGTCCTCCATAAAGGGTGTTGGCGCACCTATGGGACCTACTAGGAGCGATGGCGCCCCCATGAGCGCTCCTAGGGGCGGTGGCGGCCCTAAGGGCCCTCCCATAGGCGGAGGCGCCCTTGAGTGCCCGCCCAGGAGCAGCTGGGGCCCTGCCCTGGGCAGCTTGCCCCTACGGGACCTACCAATGTGTGGCAGCGCCCTCACGAACCCTCCCAAGGGCGGTGGCGCCCTTAGTGGCCCTCCCAGGAACGGCAGAGTCCCCAAGGGCCCTACCAGAGGCGACCCTCCTGGGAGCTCTATAGCTTGGTAAGGTCGTTCTGTCGTGCATGTCCAACAATCCCATACTTAACTGTGATTGGTGGACTAAAATGTAAATCCACCGAACTACAGCCAATAGGAGAACAGCAGTCAGTCAACACAACACCCCAACTTATGTTTTGCTGTTGGATATTTGTTCTGCTTTACATTGTTCAGGATGAAATGATACTGGAAATGCGATTGGAATCGTATTTATTTAACGTCAAAATATCTCCAAGAGTTCTAAATAAAGCAAAAACAACTGCCCCCAGGAGACCTGCTAGGTGCTGGTGCGCCACCAATGGACCTCACAGGTGCGATGGCATCCGCATGGTCCCTCCCAGGGGCGGTGGCGCCTTCAAGGTTCCTTCCAGAAGAAGTGTCGTCCCGAGGGTGCCTGTCACCGACGATAGCGCTCCCAGGGGCAGCGGCTCCCACAGCCCGGGCTTTCGTTAGGGGCATTGGCGCTCCCAGGGGCGGTGGCGAACCTGGGGGCCCTCCTATTGGCGGAGGCGCCCTTGAGAGCCCGCCCAGGAGCAGCTGGGGCCCTGCCCTGGGCAGCTTGTCCCTACGGGACCTACCAGGGGTGGCAGCGCCCTCACGAACTCTCCCAAGGGCGGTGGCGCCCTTAGTGGCCCTCACAGGAACGGCAGAGTCCCCAAGGGCCCTACCAGAGGCGACCCTCCTGGGAGCTCTATAGCTTGGTAAGGTCGTTCTGTCGTGCATGTCCAACAATCCCATACTTAACTGTGATTGGTGGACTAAAACGTAAATCCACCGAACTACAGCCAATAGGAGAACAGCAGTCAGTCAACACAACACCCCAACTTATGTTTTGCTGTTGGATATTTGTTCTGCTTTACATTGTTCAGGATGAAATGATACTGGAAATGCGATTGGAATCGTATTTATTTAACGTCAAAATATCTCCAAGAGTTCTAAATAAAGCAAAAACAACTGCCCCCAGGAGACCTGCTAGGTGCTGGTGCGCCACCAATGGACCTCACAGGTGGTAACGCATCCATGGTCCTCTGGGACGCCTTCAGGTTCCTTCAGAAGAAGTGTCGTCCGAGGGTGCCTGTCACAGCGATAACTCCCAGGCAGCAGCCACAGCCAGGCTTTCGTTAGGGGCATTGGCTCCCCAGGGCGATGGCAAGACACGGGAGCCCTCCTGGCGGAGAGCGCCCGCTCCAGGTGCCGTCGGGGAGCAGCTGGGGCCCTGCCCTGGGCAGCTTGTCCCTACGGGACCTACCAGGGGTGGCAGCGCCCTCACGAACTCTCCCAAGGGCGGTGGCGCCCTTAGTGGCCCTCACAGGAACGGCAGAGTCCCCAAGGGCCCTAACAGAGGCGACCCTCTTGGGAGCTCTGTAGCTTGGTAAGGTCGTTCTGTCGTGCATGTCCAACAATCCCATACTTAACTGTGATTGGTGGACTAAAATGTAAATCCACCGAACTACAGCCAATAGGAGAACAGCAGTCAGTCAACACAACACCCCAACTTATGTTTTGCTGTTGGATATTTATTCTGCTTTACATTGTTCGGGATGAAATGATACTGGAAATGCGATTGGAATCGTATTTATTTAACGTCAAAATATCTCCAAGAGTTCTAAGTAAAGCAAAAACAACTGCCCCCAGGAGACCTGCTAGGTGCTGGTGTGCCACCAATGGACCTCACAGGTGTGGGGGCGCCGTCAGGGGCCCTCCCAGGGCTGTCGGCGCCCCCAAGGACCTTTCCAGTTCCGGCGGCATCCCTAGGTGCCTTCTAAGAGGCTGCAGCGCCCCCAGGGCCCTCCCAGGAGTGGTGGTGCCTCCAGGAAAACTCCCTGGGGTGGTGTCGCCCACAATTGCCCTCCCAAGGGCAGTGGTGCCCACAGAGGCCCTCTGAGGGGTATCTGCTATCACAGGGGTCCATTTTTAGGGTGATGGCATCCCAGGGGTTCTTACAGGTGAAACGGAGCCTCCAGGGGCCCTCCCAGATACATAGTCCCCTTTATGGACAATCATCGGGGCGGCGACGTCCTTAGGAGGCCCTCCCAAGGGCGGCGGCGCCCCCAGAAGTCCTCCATAAAGGGTGTTGGTGCACCTATGGGCCCTGCTAGGTGCGATGGTACCTCCATGGGCCCTCCCATGGACGGTGGCGCCTTCAAGCTTCCTTCCAGAAGCGTTGGCGTCCCGAGGGTTCATGTCACGGGCAATACCGCTCCCAGGGGCAGTGGCGCCCACAGCCCGGGCTTTTGTTAGCGGCATTGGCGCTCCCAGGGTCGGTGGCGAACCTGGGGGCCCTCCTATTGGCGGAGGCGCCCTTGGGTTGCCTCAGGAGTGGTATTAATTGCCTCCAGGAAAATTCCCTGGGGTGGTGTCGAACAAAAACGCCCTCCCAAGGGCATTGGTGCCCACAGAGGCCCTCTGCGGGGTATCTGCTACCACAGCGGCCCTTTTAGGGATGATGGCATCCCAGGGGTTCTTACAAGTGAAATGGCGCCTCCATGGGCCCTCCCAGATACGTGGTTCCGTTTATGGACAATCATCGGGGCGGCGACGTCCCTAGGAGGCCCTCCCAAGGCCGGCGGCGCCCCCAGAGGTCCTCCATAAAGGGTGTTGGCGCAATTATGGGACCTACTAGGTGCGATGGCGCCCCCATGAGCGCTCCTAGGGGCGGTGGCGGCCCGAAGGGCCCTCCCATAGGCGGAGGCGCCCTTGAGTGCCCGCCCAGGAGCAGCTGGGGCCCTGCCCTGGGCAGCTTGCCCCTACGGGACCTACCAAGGTGTGGCAGCGCCCTCACGAACCCTCCCAAGGGCGGTGGCGCCCTTAGTGGCCCTTCCAGGAACGGCAGAGTCCCCAAGGGCCCTACCAGAGGCGACCCTCCTGGGAGCTCTATAGCTTGGTATGGTCGTTCTGTCGTGCATGACCAACAATCCCATACTTAACTGTGATTAGTGGACTAAAATGTAAATCCTCCCAACTACAGCCAATAGGAGAACAGCAGTCAGTCAACACAACAACCCAACTTATGTTTTGCTGTTGGATATTTGTTCTGCTTTACATTATTCAGGATGAAATGATACTGGAAATGCGATTGGAATCGTATTTATTTAACGTCAAAATATCTCCAAGAGTTCTAAATAAAGCAAAAACAACTGCCCCCAGGAGACCTGCTAGGTGCTGGTGCGCCACCAATGGACCTCACAGGTGTGGGGGCGCCCTCAGGGGCCCTCCCAGGGCAGTCGGCACCCCCAAGGACTTTCCCAGTTCCGGCGGCATCCCAAGGTGCCTTCTAAGGGGCGTCAGCGCCCTCAAGGGCCCTCCCAGGAGTGGTGGTGCCTCCAGGAAAATTCCCTGGGGTGGTGTCGAACAAAAACGCCCTCCCAAGGGCATTGGTGCCCACAGAGGCCCTCTCCGGGGTATCTGCTACCACAGCGGCCCTTTTAGGGATGATGGCATCCCAGGGGTTCTTACAAGTGAAATGGCGCCTCCATGGGCCCTCCCAGATACGTGGTTCCCTTTATGGACAATCATCGGGGCGGCGACGTCCCTAGGAGGCCCTCCCAAGGCCGGCGGCGCCCCCAGAGGTCCTCCATAAAGGGTGTTGGTGCACCTATGGGACCTACTAGGTGCGATGGCGCCCCCATGAGCGATCCTAGGGGCGGTGGCGGCCCTAAGGGCCCTCCCATAGGCGGAGGTGCCCTTGAGTGCCCGCCCAGGAGCAGCTGGGGCACTGCCCTGGGCAGCTTGCCCCTACGGGACCTACCAATGTGTGGCAGCGCCCTCACGAACCCTCCCAATGGCGGTGGCGCCCTTAGTGGCCTTCCCAGGAACGGCAGAGTCCCCAAGGGCCCTACCAGAGGCGACCCTCCTGGGAGCTCTATAGCTTGGAAAGGTCGTTCTGTCGTGCATGTCCAACAATCCCATACTTAACTATGATTGGTGGACAAAAACGTAAATCCACCGAACTACAGCCAATAAGAGAACAGCAGTCAGTCAACACAACACCCCAACTTATGTTTTGCTGTTGGATATTTGTTCTGCTTTACATTGTTCAGGATGAAATGATACTGGAAATGCGATTGGAATCGTATTTATTTAACGTCAAAATATCTCCAAGAGTTCTAAATAAAGCAAAAACAACTGCCCCCAGGAGACCTGCTAGGTGCTGGTGCGCCACCAATGGACCTCACAGGTGCGATGGCATCCGCATGGTCCCTCCCAGGGGCGGTGGCGCCTTCAAGGTTCCTTCCAGAAGAAGTGTCGTCCCGAGGGTGCCTGTCACCGACGATAGCGCTCCCAGGGGCAGCGGCTCCCACAGCCCGGGCTTTCGTTAGGGGCATTGGCGCTCCCAGGGGCGGTGGCGAACCTGGGGGCCCTCCTATTGGCGGAGGCGCCCTTGAGAGCCCGCCCAGGAGCAGCTGGGGCCCTGCCCTGGGCAGCTTGTCCCTACGGGACCTACCAGGGGTGGCAGCGCCCTCACGAACTCTCCCAAGGGCGGTGGCGCCCTTAGTGGCCCTCACAGGAACGGCAGAGTCCCCAAGGGCCCTACCAGAGGCGACCCTCCTGGGAGCTCTATAGCTTGGTAAGGTCGTTCTGTCGTGCATGTCCAACAATCCCATACTTAACTGTGATTGGTGGACTAAAATGTAAATCCACCGAACTACAGCCAATAGGAGAACAGCAGTCAGTCAACACAACACCCCAACTTATGTTTTGCTGTTGGATATTTATTCTGCTTTACATTGTTCGGGATGAAATGATACTGGAAATGCGATTGGAATCGTATTTATTTAACGTCAAAATATCTCCAAGAGTTCTAAGTAAAGCAAAAACAACTGCCCCCAGGAGACCTGCTAGGTGCTGGTGTGCCACCAATGGACCTCACAGGTGCGATGGCATCCGCATGGTCCTCCCCGGGGCAGGTGGCGCCTTCAAGGTTCCTTCCAGAAGAAGTGTCGTCGAGGGTGCCTGTCACCGGCGATAAGCGCTCCTAGAGGGCAGCTCCCACAACCGGGCTTTAGATTAGGGGCATTGGCGCTCCCCAGGGGGCAGTGGCAACCGGGCCCTCCTATTGGGCGCCATGAGTGCCATGCAGGAGCAGCACAGGGCCTGCCTGTGGCTTGTCTCAGGACCTACCAGGGGTGGCAGCGCCCTCACGAACTCTCCCAAGGGCGGTGGCGCCCTTAGTGGCCCTCACAGGAACGGCAGAGTCCCCAAGGGCCCTAACAGAGGCGACCCTCTTGGGAGCTCTGTAGCTTGGTAAGGTCGTTCTGTCGTGCATGTCCAACAATCCCATACTTAACTGTGATTGGTGGACTAAAATGTAAATCCACCGAACTACAGCCAATAGGAGAACAGCAGTCAGTCAACACAACACCCCAACTTATGTTTTGCTGTTGGATATTTATTCTGCTTTACATTGTTCGGGATGAAATGATACTGGAAATGCGATTGGAATCGTATTTATTTAACGTCAAAATATCTCCAAGAGTTCTAAATAAAGCAAAAACAACTGCCCCCAGGAGACCTGCTAGGTGCTGGTGCGCCACCAATGGACCTCACAGGTGTGGAGGCGCCCTCAGGGGCCCTCCCAGGGCAGTCGGCACCCCCAAGGACTTTCCCAGTTCCGGCGGCATCCCTAGGTGCCTTCTAAGGGGCGTCAGCGCCCTCAAGGGCCCTCCCAAGAGTGGTGGTGCCTCCAGGAAAATTCCCTGGGGTGGTGTCGAACAAAAACGCCCTCCCAAGGGCATTGGTGCCCACAGAGGCCCTCTGCGGGGTATCTGCTACCACAGCGGCCCTTTTTGGGATGATGGCATCCCAGGGGTTCTTACAAGTGAAATGGCGCCTCCATGGGCCCTCCCAGATACGTGGTTCCCTTTATGGACAATCATCGGGGCGGCGACGTCCCTAGGAGGCCCTCCCAAGGCCGGCGGCGCCCCCAGAGGTCCTCCATAAAGGGTGTTGGCGCACCTATGGGACCTACTAGGAGCGATGGCGCCCCCATGAGCGCTCCTAGGGGCGGTGGCGGCCCTAAGGGCCCTCCCATAGGCGGAGGCGCCCTTGAGTGCCCGCCCAGGAGCAGCTGGGGCCCTGCCCTGGGCAGGTTGCCCCTACGGGACCTACCAAGGTGTGGCAGCGCCCTCACGAACCCTCCCAAGGGCGGTGGCGCCCTTAGTGGCCCTCCCAGGAACGGCAGAGTCCCCAAGGGCCCTACCAGAGGC